TTTTAAGTAGTTCAGAGAACCGGCAAATACCACCTCTGGTTGGCCCCACCCACCCACCCCTGCCGTTACCTCTCCTAGATTCTCTTGTGTTTTTTTTTTAGCTCAGCTGATTCGCGCCTCAGAGCGGATTGCTGCGCCTCAGCTGAGCTAAAAAAAAAAAGCAAAGCTCACCAGCGTTGATACAGAGGGCAGTCCTTGAGCCCTACCTCTCAGAACCAGTAGGAAAAAATTTGGAAACCCATCACTGACGCAGATATTGTTTTGTTTTGGAAACAAGGAAAAACAAACACACACGCAGACACCTGTGTGAAGTCCAATAAAACTATTTTATAAATAAAAAACACATAGGAAGTTTTCAATTGATATAAAACCAAGGAAGAGGAGGTAAGGCAATATGCGTGATGAGACGGTAGCACCAACGTTAGGAGGAAGAGAACCAAAGGGAAGGGGCCACCGAGAGATGGAGGGTGAGGTGGACCGGCGGGGTGTGGAGGGTGGAAAGAGTCGAAGTTGCCTTTGTGGCAAAGAGGATATAAAAATTAGGGACACTGGGCCCGAAAGAAAATATGAACTGGGCATCAAAAGAAATTACAGAACATTTAAAAACAACGCTGAAACGAGAGAATCCTTGAGTCTAAGAAAACCCACGTGGCTGTTGACCCGGAGGACAATTTACAAAGCCTCAGGGAACGGGCGTGTACGAATGGAGCCACACAACCCTTGTTCAGTGGAGAGGGCCTAGTGTGGTATCTGTACCTAAGCAAAGGGCTTTCAGGATAGCAGTCACTAGGTGGGGTTTCTCTATATCCCCTTCTTCAAGGCCAAACATTTGTGGTCCCTTCACCCGTGCAGAGAAAGCAGGACAAACAGAAATCCTAAAAGCAAATCAAGTGTGAAGGGCAAAACAATGGCAGAGACTCTTTTTTTTCTCCTACACCCACTCTACGCCACTCCCCGACTTCAAAACTCAGGTGGTCCTCAATTTACAACCGAATGTCAACTCATAAAATATTTCTATGGTCTCTTTTTAGAGTTGCCAACAGAAAGGGAGGGGGGAGAGCAGTGCAGCAGCTTGCAAAACCGAAAGTGCATTCCATAAATGTTTTCAAAGATAGTAACTAGGTGACTGAAGTTTCTGCTGTGCAAAATTCTAACTGGAGAGCATGATTGAAGACTCTGGGCTATGGATGTGTCCCATTGGAGAATATGAATTACAATACACCCGGGGGTGGGGGAAAACCAGGGTCAAAGGTGACAAGGAATGATGTGCTTCAGAGTCGGCTACACCCAGGAAGTGCCGGCATATTAACTACCAATAAATCCTTTCAAGTTTTGGAAGTTTGGCTTGAGACTCATGATTTAAATGGGGGTAACTGCCGGAATCCTGACACCCAGTTGGAACCAATTTGTGTTGCTAAGCAAGGCAGTGAAGGGAGTCACACCCAATGTTTATGACCCTTTATTTTTTGCGGTGGCTGTTAAGCAAATCACCCCCGCTCATTAAGTGAACGACATGGCCGTTAAGCGAATCTGATTTCCTTGTTGGGAAGTCAGGCTGGAAGCTTGTAAATGGCTATCCCACGACCCCGGCACACTGCAGCCATCATATATATATATAAATCTGTTGCCAAGCATCCGAATTTTGACCCCATGACCCACAACAGGGATGTTGCAACCATCATTAATGAAGAAGACCGGTTATAAGTCACTTTTTCCAGTGCCGTTATAAGTTCAAACAGTCACTGGTGGGTTGTAAGTCAAGGATCACCTGTAAAGGTTTTGTTGTCAGCCGGCACTCCTTCCCAGCCCCTTCCTTTCCTTCGCCACGTCACCGCAGACTGAAAGATGGGTAAGCTACTCAAACCCAGTAGGAATGAAGGTAAAATGGTAACCTGAAAGGTGCTGGACTGGATGTGGCTTCAGACCAGCAAATTCTGCCTGGTTCTACCGACACCAGGAAAGCAGGACCCAAAAGGCCCATCATAAAATGCCTACTTATTATTAAAATGCCTCTTATTATTGTCTATTAACAGTCAGAGAAAGAGTGTAAGCTTCCTGGAATCGAAGTGACGAAAGCTGACAAAACGCTCCCCACCCCCACTTCCGAAAGAATGATGGACGTGCCCACCATACCTAAAGTAAGGGAAAGAAATTTCATAGGTAGAGCAAAATTAGGTACACACTCAGTTGGAAGACCAAAAGTGGCCAAACATACCGAACGGGATTTTGCCTCAAAGTAAAATCAAACGATGCAGCCAGAGACACTCGAACAGGGGTGTCAAACTTAAGGCCCGCAGACCAGGTCCAGTTCGTGGGGGTGCTTAGATCTGGCCCACGGGTTCGCCCTGGAATCAGTGATGGACTGGCCCCACGGTGCCTCTGCCAGAGAAAACTGAGCGCGGGGGGGTGGGGGGTGTCAGTTTTCATTGGCAGAGGGCTAACGAAACGAACTAAAAAGAAAACAAATGGATGAAATGTTTCCCCTTCTTGCATTAGAGCATGCAAGAAGGGACGGGAAAGGAGAAAGGGAAAGAGAAAAGGGAAAGAAGGGAAGATGGGAAGAGAGCAAGGAAGGAAAAATAAGAAAAGGGGAAGGAAGGAGAATGAAGAGGGTAGAAAAAAGGGAAGGGGAGGGAGGGAGGGAGGAAGGAAGGAAGGAAGGAAGGAAGGGTGGGTTATAATGAGTGAGGGTCTGATGGAAGTTCTGCCTTGGCCACCACAGGTGTCCCCGGCACGAGTGATGTCAAGCTGGCCATTCCTACCCTGGCCACGTCCACTCCGGCCCCTCGAGATCAAACGTAACCCTGATGAAATCGAGTTTGACACCCCTGGTCTAGAAAGTCACCTGGCATGATTATAAGCATTTTTCCTTTTGTTGCAAAGCAAATGCCACTCCTCGCTTTTCTCTTCCGGCAACCCAAATGCCAAGAAACAGCTGGGCTTAACCGCCATCACAACTTCCCAAAAGTGTTGCTGGTGAGAGAACTGGGTTCTCTGGATTCGCTCTTCACAGGGCCACTCGACGGATGGACCCCAAAGCTAAAAAGCAAAGGAACTCTTTGGCCTGTGCATCCCGGACGTGGTCCTGCACAGAAAGCAAGGAAGAGCCCACCACCGCCACAACTAAAGGGGGAATTGCCACAAAGTCGTTCATTAGATGGGGTCACACCACGTATTAGTCTGGCAGGTCCTGCTGACTTCCAAACAACTGAGTGAGCAGGACCTGTTCAGGGTTTGGATAAATCAGAAGGAAATCCATTGTTGACGACGGATCAGGGAAGTGAGAAGACGATAGCCCAGGAGGATAAGGAAGCTACTTGGAGGAGTCCATTAATCCATTAAGAGTTAAGTCCTAAGGATCTTTAGTTTGTGCTTTAGTGTGTTGCAGGAAGCCAGCCCTTGAGAATCAGAATTTGTCCGTGTTTCGATGGCGGGACGAGGTCGAAGAGAGAGCAAAATGGAATACCAGGCTGGCAAATCTCAGCTGTTTGTGCATTCATTATCCCCCCTTGTTATATCCCGAGCCACGGGAGGAATAAGCATCAGCTCTCCTGCCTTGGAAGATTTCAAAAGCCAACTGTCCCGATCGTCCAACTTCAAAACCAAGAGGAAATTTGATTTGCTAAAGACAGGAACCGGAAGTTGCATTCTGCGTCCACTATTATTATCAAAAAACAGGCTACATACAAGCAGAAAAGTTTGCGAACTCCTAGAAATCATGCGGAAGGGATTAGGGAAAGAGAGAACGAAAGAGTGTCAACTCTAACACAATCTCAGAAGAAGTCAGTCCTTCCAATTCAGGGATAAATGATTTTTACATTTCTCCCGGGACCTTAGTAGTTGTTGTTTTTTTCCCTTGTTTTGGGATTGTTTTCACACACACACACACACACACACACACACACACACAGAAAAAAGAAGAATGAGGGCAGTGCCAATCCACATAGCCATGAAAGGGAAAGAACCAATGATGGGATTTAAAACAAAAATAAGGGCAAGACGGGATGGGGAAGGGACTCAAAATCTCCCACAAAGAGCTGGAAGACTACAAGTTTGTGAAAAAGTAATATCAGGGGAAAAAAATAAATCTTCTGATACATCCACTGATGCAGGAACAGCAGTGCAAACCAAACATGATTCTTGACCGACACCGATGTTCCAAAAAGCAAGCAAGCAAACAAGCAAGCAAACAATCCTGGGTTTTCGACAAGAGTTTTCTTTGCAATTGCTCCATGGTGTAGAAGGGGGCAAAAGTTTTGGATATCTTGAGTGGAGACAGTGGCCTGGCTCTCTTGTCCTAGATTTATTCCAGACATCAGGCATCCGAAAATCAAGTTTAGCCTCCAAGGGAAAACTTCATCCCAGCTTGAGGATTCAGCGAAGGGGAAGTCGCCGGCATCCAGCAGGTCCATCTCAAGAATCCCATGGCTGAGGCCATGCTGCTGCCAGGAGAGGGACATAGTCGGAGCTCATCCCTCCTTCCCCTCCCGGGCTGATGGAATAAGGAGGGACATCTTCCAACCAAGAAGTCATCTTCAGCCCCTAAGCAGGCTGAAAAGGCTCTGCGTCTTCCTCTCCTGGAAGTCAGGAGGAACCAAAAACCGCCACCACGTGACGCAGGCTCTCCCCCAAACCACGGCTGGCCAGCTCAAAGGAAGTCAAAGACCCCATAATTCTTGGCTGCTCGGCAGAGAGGAACACAAGAGGGGCGAGGAGGAGAAAGAGGGCAGGTGTTTAGGGCTGGTGGCGTGGAAAAAAAAAAAACCCGACGACGACGGGCGAGCAGCGGAGGTCCCGGGTGGGTGCAGATTAATGGATTAGCGTGCAGGTTAACGGGTTAAAAATACAAGCTGGGTTAGGGGCTGTTCTTTTCTGCAATCACATGGGGGGGAGGGCGGTGTTTAGGAGAAGCTGCTGGAGACACTTGCGGGAAAGATTAGAATCAAACAGTTTAGTTCAGGGGTCCCTGACCCACCCACCCCTGGGCCGCGGCCCACTACCGAGCTGTGGACCGTTCAGAACAAGGTTGCATGAGTGGCTGGCCAGTTCCCCTCTCCACCCCCACCCCCCAAAAAAGTCATAAAGGTTGGGGACCACTGGTTTAGTCCATTTGATTTCCTCAACCCCTTTTCATAAAAGCCAAGTCAAAAAAACGAAACGGAGAAAGAGGAACAGAGACAGGCAGCACAGAGAGGCATCTCACACCGAGTGTGATCTTTCTAGGAGATAAACCAACTTGGGAAGGGGGTGGGGGCAGCCCAGACAGGCAGAGGGAGGGAGGGAGGGAGGGATCTTCACATTACATCCACAAAAAACTCACTAGGGTTGCCCATGGCCATTCGGAATGACTGTCTACTGGCGGTCAGTTCAGGGGGCACCGAGGCCAGATCTCGGCCCGGGGGAGCCCCGGGAGGTCCCAGGGCGGAAGGGGGCGGCGGCATCAGGAGCATGGGAGGGCTGTAGAGAGGTGGGAGGCCTGGAGGGCCGTAAGACTGCTGGCTGTGGTGGCTGCGCACGCTGTGAGCCATGGAGTGATGGCTACGTTGGCTGCCCGGCATGGAGCACTCGCTGGCCGCTCGCTCCCGCCGAATGCTGCTACGGCTGGTGTGGTCCGATTCGCTGCCGCTACCACCCGACTTGGACTCCCCAGGCTTGGGGTCCCGGTCCTTCCGTCTCTCGCTGCCGCTGCGGTTTGAACCGCTGCTGCGGCTTCCTGCACAAGGAGTAACAATTGATAGTGGTTAGAGCAGTGTTTCTCAACCTTAGCAGCTGGAAGATGGACCAACTTCAACTCTCATTTGCTGCATCCTTATTCTAAATTGGTCACTTAGGCCAGGAATGGATGCAGAGGTGAGCTGCTGCCGGTTTGCCCTGGTTCGGGCGAACTGGTAGCTAAATATTATCATTTTTAAGTTGAAGTCGGCCCATCTTCCAGCTGCCAAGCTTGAAAAATGCTGGATTTAGAAGACTTACCTTGTTTTAAGTTGAGGGAATCTGGGGGAGGAAGCAAGTCAGCAGGGACTAAAACGCACATTCTGCTTTGCTGCACCAGGTCAGAAATCTGCATTCCCTGCCAAAGTAGCCCAATACAGGTAATCCTCGACTTGCCACCGTTCATTTAATGACCAGTTCAAAGTTACAACGGCACTGAAAAAAAAGGGACTCAGGGCCGTTGATCACCATTATGACTTCTGTAGTGTCCCCCTCCATGGTCCAATCCCAGATGCATGGAAACTGGCTCCTATTTAAATCCCGTTGCTGTGTCCCGTCCCCCCTCCAGGTCACATGATCTCCTTTTGAGACCTCCTGACCAGCAATGTCAACAGGGAAGCCAGAGTCGCTTCCCAACTGCGTTGACTAACTTAACCGCCACACCGATTCACTTAACAACTGCGCCAACTCATAAAGTATTTCTCTGGTCTTTCTAGAGTTGCCAACAGAAAGGGAAGAATTGCAGCAGCTTGCAAATCTGAAACTGCATTCCATAAATGTTTTCAAAGATACTAACTAGGTGACTGAAGTTTCTGTCGCACAAAATTCTAATTGGAAAGCATGATCGATGACTCTGGGCTATGGGTGTGTCCCATTGGAGAATATGAATTACAATATACCCAGAGGGGTGAGGGAAAATCAGGGTCAAGGGTGACAATGAATGATGTGCCTCAGAGTTGGCTACACCCAGGCAGTGCTGGACAGTTTTAAGTCCCAATAAATCCTTTTTTAAGTTTTGGAAGTTTGGTTTGAGACTCATGATTTAACTGCCGGAATCCTGACAAACTGTGGCAAGGAAGTTCGTAAAATGAGGCAATGTAAAATGGGGCAACTTTTCAATTGTCTCACTAAACCACAGAAATGTTGGGCTTACTTGTGTACGTAAGTCGAAGACTATCTGTCCATGCCTCTTCTGCTGGGTTTACCACCTCCTGAAAACTCAAGACGCAGAACATAAAGGCATTTGGTTCCCCCATTGGGCCAGACCAGACAGAGATGTCGTGTGAATCAAATGACATTTTCACAACAGAAAAAAGGAGCCTAGGAACTAAAGCCAAGAAAGAAAGAAAAAAACTTGGCAAAACCATGACACCCTCCATCTATTCTCCAGGGCAGAAAAGAAAAGTAGCTCTTTATGAGCACTGCAGAAAGTACAGGCCAAAGACTAGGCATATTATCCTGCAAGAATATACACAAGTTGTTGTACGTGACAACCTTGAACTACTGCCTGCTTGGAAGCGGACTAAAAACAAAAGAAGATCTCTTTTTCTTTTTCCTTTTAACAAACTTGTCAAGATTGAACCGCTTTGCTTCTTTCAAACCTTCACGCTTTGCCACTTGCCAATGAACTGGGGGAAAGGAAGGGAGATGGAAGGTGGAGAATGTATGCAGAGCATGGAAGCCATCAAGGTCACTACTGCAGGTGCTTGAGAAAGAGATGGACAGTTCCCATAACAAAAGGACGTCTCATGATTGGACAATGTAATCGCCCCTGGGTGGGGAGAAGGGGAAGTTACTGTTTAACTGGGCAAGTGGGAAAACCAGAGCTAGTTTTGTTTCTTTAGTACCAACATGGTGTATCCAATAAAGTTCTACTTGGGAATTCAAAACTCCTGAGAATGTTTCCTTGTTTTGGATTTGCTAATTGGACAGTTGACACTAACATTCATATTCCATTTTTCCCCTCCTCTAAGACAGCCGAAGTGATCTACAGCATTAAAAACCATGAAACATTTAAGAAAAACAACTGCAGGTACACCTCAACTTATGGACACAATTGTGCCCAAAATGTCTGTTGTTAAGTGAGATGTTTATTAAGTGATTTTTGCCCCATTTTATGACCTTTCTTGCCGCAGTTGTTAAGTGAATCGCTGCAGTTACACTGGTAAAACCGTTGTTAAGTGAATCTGGCATCCTGATCAACTTTGTTTGTCTGAAGGTCGCAAAAGTTGATCACATGACCCCGGAACACTGCAATCGTCATAAATATGAGTCAGCTGCCAACCGCTTGAATTTTGGTCATGCGACCATGGGAATGCTGCAACGATCGTGTGAAAAAAAGGCCATGTCACTTTTTTCAGTGCCATTGCAACTTCAAACAGTCACTAAATGATCTGTGGTAAGTCGAGGACCACCTACCTGTAATCACATGAGGCGTAAAACGTTCCAGTTGGAACAAGAGACAGACCAGTGAAAGGGCTATTAAAACGGAGAACCAGTTCAGTCCAATGGTGAAAGGCACCCGGCTGAAAACAAGGAGACTCCGTGCTCTCACTCCGTTCAGATTTTGAATGATTAAAACTTAACCCCGTTTCCCTCCTTCTTGTATCCAGCTGCCTCTTTCACCATCTTGTTTTCGCTCTCTCCGGGTTCCAGAGGTTTTCCTCGAGCATCCGGGAGGGCGAAAAAGGTCTCTCCTGGGCTCCGGAGGCCCTCGACCCATTTCCAGCCTTCTGGAACTTCCAGGACGCCCATTTTTAACCTTCCCCGGCTCTGGAGGATTTTCTCGAGTCTCTGAGAGGGTGAAAACGGGCCCATTTCCGGTCTTCCGGAGTCTCCGAGAGGCCGGTTTTTCACCCTTCCCTAGCCTCCGTGTGGCCTTGTACTTACCTGGCATCCAAAACGAGCCGTGTGGGGACTTCTGGGTGGGGCGGGGCAGGGTGGGTGGGGCCAGCCAAAGGTGGGATTTACTGGTTCATCGAACGGGTAATTAAAAATGATAAAATTAGCTACCAGTTCGCCCAAACCAGGGCAAACCGGTAGCAGCTCACCCCTGCATCCATAGGGATTATCCTTGCCTAAGTGACCAATTTAGAATAAGGAAGCAGCAAACGAGGATTTTTCAAATGCTCAAAAGTTACACTCATTCCTCGATTGAGAGGGAACATCAGTGTCCAGAAGGAGGAGGAGGAAGCTGTTCCCACAACCCAAGATTTTGCGTGCAACCTGACCTTTGTTTTAAAGCTTTCCAGAGAGGGACCCCAAGACACGGCCTGATTCACAGCTCAGGCAGAAGAAAGAAAGGCCACTTTCTACAAGGCTTTGGAGGCAGAATGGAAGATCCTGGTCGATGCTTACCTTCACTGTGCTGGCTGCCTGCGCTGCCCCCTCCGTAGCTGTAACCCGGCTCAGGGAAGCCAGGGTGGGGGTTGTAGGGGTGTGGAGGTGGATATTGGTAAGGAAAAGCTAGGGGCCAGGGGGCCGCTCCTGGGTGAGGTAACGGAGCCAGCGTATCCTGGTCGGAGGCCCCACTAGATCCATCGTGGTCATGCAAGGATAGGTTGGCCATGTCTGCAAGGAGAAAAGAGGCACAGAAAACCAGCAAAGGTTAAATGAGCAGCCCCCCAGATTCCGTTTTGTGGACCGGTGGCGGGGGGGAGGGGAACGGTTCAATGCAAGCGGCAGGCAAGCGCGCGTATGCGCGCAGCTCCATTAGTGCAAGTGTTCTGACCCAGTTCTCAAACATGACCAAACCTCTGATGTGAACTCAAAAGATTCTTTTATTAGGTTGGAATTGCCCCAGCAAAAAGTTTCTCTCTCAACGCGAGCTAACTAGTCTGTCCGGCCTGGGAGATGAATAGTTGTCTGCCACATCTATTCATTTCCTCCCCCTGCCTTTTATCCCCAGAGCCAGGGTGGGGCTTCACTAGCAGCAGTGGCTCTTCCGTCCCAAGGACCGGCCCATAGATTTCCACTGCCCTCCTCTCCTCTGCCTTCTACGCATCCGCGCGTCAGGCACTGGACCCAGCTGTTCTTCCTCTTCTCATCAGCCACCTCCAGACCTGAGGGCTGTATACTCTCCATCTGAGGGCTGATGGACAGCCCGGACTCTGCCTCTGTCTGTCTTTGACAACTCCATTCCCTCTTCCCCCTCAAAGCTCTCGGGTTGCCCTGGTGCTGACCTTGACTCCTCCTCCACCTATGATTTGGCTGCTGGTGGGGCCGGTGGCTGACAGGCCACAACCGCAAGCGGCGGGAACACATACATGCTGCTTGCGCAAATGGAGTTTCCTGCACGCACACGCTCACCGGCCGCTTACGTGGCCCAGTTCCAAACAAGGTTGGAGACCCTTGGGTTAAGCAGTAGGGTAGGGAACTCCTCCCGACAAGAAAGGAAGTGAGTAGATAGGGGTCTAGGAACAAGGAGGGCTTTCCAACCAAGGAAGAACGGATCCAAAATTCAACTCCGCAGTAAGACTAGCACTATAGGTAATCCTCAGCTTATAACCACAACTGAGCCGAACATTTCAGTTGCTAAGCCAGGCAGTTGTTAAGTGAGTTTTGTCCCATTTTACCACCTTTCTTACAACACGGGCGAAATGAATCGCTGCAATTGTTAAATTAGTAACGTGGTTGTTGAATGCATCTGGCTTCCCCGTTGACTTTGCTAATCAAAAAAAAGGGCAAAAAGGGATCACATGACTCCCGAGACGCCCCAAACGTCATAAATACATGCCGGATGTATAAATTTTGATCGCGTGATCATGGGGATGCTGCAACAGCCGTTAAGTGTGAAAAATGGTCATAAATCACTTGTTTCAGTGCCATTCCAACTTCAAATGGTCACTAAATGAATGATTGTAATTTGAGGATTACCTGTATACTTTATTGGCAGGCTCTAATACCGGAACATTGTGAGTCTAATTGTAGGAGAGGACCAGGGTGAGACCAAGGGAGGAAGGGGTCAAAGGCGTCATCAGACTCGAGTGCCTTCGTGCCCATGAGAGATTTAAATTCAGCCACCCTTGAATGGGCTGTTCCAATAAATTCTGGAACATTTTCAAGCAAAGGTATCCCACTCAGCTTGGAATAGTTCCAAAATGATCAAAACTCCCTTTCAAGGTGGAATAGTCCTCAACTTAAAACCTTTCATTTAGTGACCATTCAAAGTTACGATGGTATTGAAAAAAGTGACTTATGACTGTTTTTCACACTTACAACCAGTGCAGCATCCCTGTGGTCACATGATCAAAATTTAGATTTTTTGGCAACTGATTCAGATCTATGATGATCGCAGTATCCCGGGATCATGTGATCCCCTTCTGCGACCTTCTGACAAAAAGAAAGATCAATGGGGAAGACAGATTCACTTAACAACTATGTAACTAACTGTAATGACCCGGGGTGTGGCACAAAGGCAACACAGTCAGATAAGCAACAAGAGTCCCTTTATTATCTCCAACTTTGCCCACAATGTCCAGGTTACCTTCGGGCTGGAGAAAAAACTCTCCCAGGAACAGCCTTTGACTGTAGAAAATTCAGTCCAGAACAAGGTACACACAAACTGTAACTTAAAATCCAAACAAACCAAACTGAAGTAATTAGTTTGGCAGGGCAGGAGCAGGAATTTCAAACTTGAAAGCACAGCAAAACTCACACAGTTGGGAAGACGCCAGGAACACAGATAACCCACAATACAAGATAAAGTCACATTTGCTCCCAACAGCCTGCTGCATGCAGCTTGCCTTTTTATACACTGTGTTCCCAGCTGCAGCTATCAGGGCCCTTTCCTCCCCCGTAAGCCACGGAACCCCCGTTGCTTCTTCTCTGTTCCTCCCTGCAGGGGGTAGGCCTGGGTCTTCCTCTGAATTCCCTCTCCCTTGTTTTACCTCTACCCTGCTCTACCAGCTGGATTTTGCCCTTCCCCAGTTTTTTCCACAGCCAATGGAGCCACACTCCCGTTCCCTGTCAGCTATTTGGTTTCCTCAGAGTCAGATTCCGACAGGGGCATGACACTAACTGCAGTGATTCATTTGGCACCTCTGCCAAGGTACCTCTGCTAACATCTCTGCTCCATAAAATGGAGCAAAACACACTTAACAATTGCTTCCCTTAGCAACAGAGATTTTGGGCTCAATTGGAGTCGTAAGTCGAGGACTACCTGCAATTGGCCCACCCCTGCTTCCCAGCCCATATCCATGATTACAATCCATACTTCCACAGAGGTCCCCGAAGATGTAGTAGCACTGCTCCGAGAAGGTAATCTTGTTGACCGTATGTCGGATATAACCAGCCTTCAGCAGATTGCTGGCATACTTGCGGGATTCTCGCCGGTCGGTAAAGCCCTCCACGTGATGGTACAGCCAGTCAACCACATCCGAACCTTGCAAAGGGGAAGAAACAAGCGAGATTAAACAAGGAAGAGAGGCAACGACAAATGGAAAGTGGTGTGGGGATTAGGATGGCACTGGCATTGGGGCTGAGCGTGTTTGGTTTTTTTTATAAAAGTTTTAAGTTTTCACAAAACATATAAATACAAAGAAAATATCTTTTTTTGAGAACAGTGTGACCCCAGGTTATCACTTCTCCATACAGACATAACTCAATACATATTTATACATTCTAATCCATATCTTATAACTATTTTTGGAATTTTTCAATAGCTTTTTCCTTTCTTTACTTCCTATAGCCTTATTTTAAATTATCTCATTCCTTTCTTAATTCAATTACATATCTTTTTCTAATTTTTAAAATCTTTCTAATCAATGTTTTTATACTTTCATCTGTCCTGTTTACAATTTCATATTATCTTTTCTCATAAAACAAATTTTCCCCTGTAATTACTAGACTGGGGTGTAACACCTTTATATCTTTTTTCAAACCTTATTTAAAAATTTAAGTTACATCTTTACAGTTATAACGTTCATTTTCTAACCTCTATTTTATAACACATACCTATTTTCAATCGAATTCTGCTTGGTACATTCCCTTAAAAATACACACTAAATTCTTAAAAGAAAAAAGTATATATGTATATGTATCTGTTTTCTTAAGTTTTCGCGGGTACTTAATTGTATGGCATTCGGCTTTGCTCGGGTATTTTCCCATGTCATTATAGTTGTGCTTTTAAAGTTGTAGCGATGTTTCAGCAGAATCTCATCTGCCATCATGATGGTAGATGAGATTCTGCTCAAACGTTGCTACAACTTTAAAAGCACAACTACTATGACATGGGAAAATACCCGAGCAAAGCCGAATGCCATACGTATATATATCTGTATATATATGTATAACAATAGTAAATGGAATAATTATTCTATTCAAGTACAGCTCTGCCATTAATAACAATCTTTTACATTTCTATTTCTTTTAAATAACATTACCTAGTAATATCAGTTGTCTTTCATTTTAATCATCTATATTTCATATTTTATTATTACTGTTTTTAAATAAAAAACCAAACAATAGTTATTAACAGTAGTCAATAAAGTTATTATTCTTATTCAAGTTCATCATATCAACTGATAAGAATCTTCCATGTTTCTTTTCAGTTTTTTTTAAACATTCTTTTTAAATCACCGAGGGCCTTATTCTCGTTACAAACAAATATTCCACTACGCATCAATAGAGATTTTTTCTATCACTTTAATCATCTAACATATTGTATAACAATGCTATCCCATGTACCCTTGCAGAATCCTCTCCTTAAGTTAAATTTTAACCATTGTCTCTGTGTCTTTTAAATAGGTTTATACCTTTAATTCTTGTATGTTTTTCCTGTACCCCTATATCTTGTTTCTGTCCTTTGTAGCTTCTTTTCCTTTCCCTCTTCCCTCTCTTCTTCTCCCTCCCCCTTTTATTCCCTTTTCTATCTGATTGTCCCTTCTGTGATCCTCCCTTCTGCTTCTTCCTGATATTATGGTTGCTTTTCAAATTACTCTCTTTTTTTGGTTGTTGCTTCAATGCTTAAGTTTTTAACTCCCTTTCCCCCCTTTCCCTTTTTTTACCCCGCTTAAAGTTGCTTGGCCATTAAAGATGGCTTCTTCTTTATCCCGCCCTTCTTGTTCTGCCAGCGTTTCTTGTTGTTTTTCATAGTTCAAAATCTCCATTTCTAAAAATTGAAATACGAAGCCAAAAGATCCTCTTCCCTCTTGTGCTTCTTCTCTTCGTTCTTTAAATCTCATTTTTAACTCTCCAAAGAGTGATGCCATTTTAAAAAATTTTAAGCAACCCCCAATTGATTTTATTTTGTTTCATTAGGATCCTCCATCCAAAGTTCCAGGAATCATCCAATAATCCAAAACTGTTTCTTGCTTCTTTCCTCACTTTGTCTTTCCAGGGGCTTTGTCATCTTGTAACAAAGTTTCAGCTACAATGTATCTTTTGCAAGCCTTGTTAAAATTCCACTATCGATTTTTTTAAAGTTCCAGGTGGACTCCTCCATTTCCAGATTCCACCCTCTTTTTTCCTTTTTCCCTCCGCTGCTTACTTTCTTTTTTTAAAGAAAGTTTTTAAATTATCCAAGAATCTTTTATCCCTTTGACACTTATTTTCAGCTAGAAATAGCCTATTAATGTCAAAGTGGATTAGCATCAATTTCTTATTCGAATCTCTTCTTCTTAACGTTCCAAGTCAATTAAAACTGTCGATGTTAGAGGAAAAAAAGCCAATTCTGTTTCCTTTCCCTTTCTCTTTCGCAGCTTAAAATCTTTTTTAGGAATAGTATTAGTCTTTAAAATTCAGGTTCCAGGTACCTTAAATAGATGTTCTCCATTCAACCCAGTCAATCAAACTTTCTCCTTTAAAATTCCTCCTGCACAATCTGGTCCGGTCGGGTTCTTCTTTGAGGTAGCCATTTCTGACCACCGCTGCAACCGCCTTTGGAAAGGGAGTTATGTCCAGCCGAGGAGGAGAGATGCGGTTCTCCTCAACCCCGCTTATGGCTCCCCCTTCTTCACCACTTCTACGGGGTGGCTTCAGACCCGAATCCGGGCGGCTCGGGACACTCCAGCAGCGAGCCCGGATCGAAACTGCGCACGATCGCGGATTTCGGTCCGTCGCCGAGGAACCCCAAACTGGAAGAGCATGTTTTGAGGCCTGCCTCAGCTACAGAAATTCTCAGCATGACACAGGGCCAGTCACTAGCTTGCAGGGTTATTCCTGTGCAGAGTGGAGAGGGATGGCCCCCTTTTATGACTTGTGGACTTCAACTCCCAGAATTCTTGAGCCAGCTATGGAATGTGGCCCGGTTTCGAACAGGCTGCGGCCCAGGGGTTGGGACCCCCTCGTTTAATGGACAGCCGAGGCAAAGGTGGGAAGGGGTGGTAAATACTTTAGATGAAAGAGAAGAGGAGAAAGAGAATGAGAAAAAGACAGGTGGGAAAAAAAGTTTTAGGCTTGGGCGATGGACTGAAATGAATGGGATGGAATTTAACAGGATGAAATGTTGAAATCTGGAGAGAAAACGTGAAAAGCATGTTTATAGGAAGGGGAGTATACGTGTGAAGAGGAACTGGATGTCCTTCTCAACCCACAAATTAAAGTTGACTCAGCAGAGGGATTCTGCTGCTAAACACAGAAGAGCTGTCTTGGAAAACATTAACAGAAGCACAGAGTTCGTATCACAGTAAGCAACTGTAGTATTCTGTTCCTGTCAGATTCCACTTGACTCCTGCGTCCATTTCTCCATAACCGAGCGCAAAGAGGAAAGCAAGAACAAACTCTTTCGTTGGCTTCTTTTTTTTTACATTTAGCAATCCTGAGGCGGGTGAGTCTAATATAAGTTTGGTTAAGGCACCAGAAAGCAAGAGACCATGAATTCTAGTTCCGCCTCAGACATGAAAGCCAGCTGGATGACTTTGAGCCAATCACCAGGGGACAGGGAGTTCTAGTTACACCTCAGGCATGAAAGCCAGCTGGATGACTTTGGGCCAGTCACTCCCTCTCAGCACAACTCACCTCACAAGGTGGTTGTTCTGGGGGAAATAGGTGGAGGAAGGTGTGCTGAATCTGTTCACCACCTTGAATTATTTGCAACAATGATAAAAGGTGGGGGTCCAAAATAAATAAGTAACACAAGCAAGTAAATAACAAGCATTCAAAGCAAGGAAAACTAGAACCCAAGAATGGTAAGAACCACAACAGGCTTTAGAGACACACACACACACCAGAGAAGGAAGGTACATTGGATATGTTTGCCACTGTGGATTATTTGTGAAAATAATAAAGGTGGGGAAGAAAGAAAAGAGAGAGGGAGGGAGGGAGAGGGAGGGAGGGAAGGAAGAGGAAGGAAAGAAGAAGGAAAGAGGAAGGAAGGAAGGAAGGAAGGAAGGAAGGAAGGAAGGAAGGAAGGAAGGAAGGAAGGAAGGAAGGAAGGA